ATAACTACAGACACTCGCTGGTTTGGACAATGATATATTCAAACAGAAAGCACCACCAGAAAGTTTAGGACCAAGAGCACCAGCTGTGAAAATTATTACTGTGGATGTTTCGAAGTTCTTCACAGTTTTTTTTTCAAATTTGGTACCAAAAGAAGATGAGTTGATTGCAGACATTAGTTGGTTTGGATAATGACGCGATATTTAAAAAGAAAGACATCCCCGCCGAAAATGCACCAAAAGCACCTCGTGTTGGGGGAATGGTGGGGACGTTCGATCCAAATTATCAGGTTATTTTTTTCTTTGAGGTTGCTCTGTAATTGTATCACTGATTATGATACCGACAACATCAGGTCCGTGAAGACTCGGATCCGGTAGTTGAAGACCATAAAAATACAACCAAGGCTGAATAAGGTACAATGTACAGGCTGCTTGTGTAGTTGAACCTATTTCTGGAATGGTAACGATGCGAGAGACGAAAGAAAAATGCATTCATATCTTTGAGTTCGGCACCCCACTATCAGCCATATCATCGTGCTCAACGTTGATATAATTTTCAGACACTCGCTGGCCTTAACAACAACGATATATTTAAAGTGAAGAATGCCGGGCCAAGGCCACCAGATTTTAAACCACCACCTGGTAAAGCTATTGCGGGGACATATGATCCTAATTATCAGGTTCGTATTCCACTGAAGTATACTTAAGGACGTAAAATAAGACCAAAGTTGAAACTCTTCGATTGCGCGAACTAGCGTGTAGATGAGCTCAAAGAATGAACATTTGTTTTGCAGACCCTTGCCGGACTCAACAACGACGAGATATTCAAGCAAAAGCAATGTTTCGAACCAGTTGGTGTTACTCCTCCTGAACCATTACTAAGAAGCAAATTCTAATGAGATACTCTGTAAAAACAATAGGTTTTAATGACTTCTATGAATTTAATGACGAGCATGACGAGAACTACAACTTGAAGTAGATGCTTTTATCACAGATAATCATTTATCTTCAAAAAATCACTTGATTTTTGTTAAAAACATTTGTGAAACTGGGTATGTATTTGGACAGATATGATATGGATTATGCTCAATTGAGACGCAAACGAAAATTTACTTGATCCGAGAACATGCAAACCGCTCGGCTATTAAATAATGCCACGGGCATGACACTAAGCCATTTCTTACAGCTGTTTTTGATGTCTAATTAATACCAATTTCAGACTTATTGGTAAGTGAT